TCCCAGCACTTTGGGAGGCCAAGGCGAGAGGATTGCCTGAGCCCATGGGTTCGAGACCAGCCTGGGCAACTTGGTGAGACCTCATCTCTATAGTAAGTAAAAAAATTAGCCGGACGTGGTGGCACACATCTGTAGTTCTGGCGGAAGAATCGCCTGAGCCCAGCAGGCCGAGGCTGCGGTGGCCGTGAACGTGCCACTGCACTCCAGCCTGGGTGACAGAGTGAGATTCCAACGGGAAAAAAAAAAGAGTTTATTTTCTTTATACCCTTGCTGTGTGAATAGTAGACCATGCCGGCTTCTCAACCCTAATTAGATCAAAGGTGAACAAAGGTGGCTCATCCATAGGCTCAACAAGTATTTTATGGTTTTGTGTGAGGGACTTCGCTCAAGCAGAGATAATAGTTTTTGAGTAATATAGAATCTTCTCAGGGTTTTTAGCTTATTGATGTAGGGAAGCTGCTAGATGGTGAGCACTGTAGCAGAGGTCACATGGAGTTTGGGCTAGGGTCGTAATTACTAGCCATCTGTATACTGCAGAAGTTTTCTGGAAGAGAGAAAAGAAAGTTTCTTTTCTGAAAGAGAGAAAAGAAAAGAATTGGTAAGCAGAAGCAGAGTCCCTGTGTGTGAGAAGTACACATCCATGTGTGTGAAAGTTTGTATATATGAAAGAGAAGGACACTTGGCCTGCGAGAGACCAACAGCAATTCCTGGTGGTTTCCTGGGCCATGTGAAGCCCAGACTTGCTTTCTCACTATCCTGCAAACCTACCCTACTCATTCCCAACACTGCATTTACTTAAGGTGGTCTCCCTACTTCTGATTTTTCTCACCACTTCAAGCCATCCTGAATATTAACCACCAGGTTAGTGTTCTTTAAAATCCTTAAAATTTTAAGGATCATGTTATTTACATGGCCAAAATTCTTTTTCTTTTTTTGAGTTGGAGTCTCATCCTGTTACCCAGGCTAGAGTATAGCGGCACACTCACAGCCACCGCAGCCCTGACCTGCTAGGCTCAGGAGATCCTTCCACCTCAGCCTTGCAAGTATCTGGAACTACAGGTGTGCGCCACAACACCTGGCTTATTTTTTGGTCTATTGTAGAGATGAGGCTGGTCAAGTTGCCTGGGCTGGTCTTGAACCCCTTAGCTCAGGCAATCTACTCGCCTCAGCCTCCCAAAGTGCTGGAATTACAGGCTTGAGCCACCATGCCCAGCCTCAAAATTCATTAATGGTTCTCTCACTGCCTTATAGTAAAGTTTAAGTTATTTAGTAATGTGTATATTGCCTTTTTCAATTCTGTCCTTTGTTTTCCCTGAAAGAACAAAGTTCATTTCATTTGGCGTTTTCTTGTTTTGTTTTGTTCCTCCCCCTAGGTGGGGTTTCACTTTGTTACCCAGGCCGGAGTGCAGTGGCATGATCATGGCCTACCACAGCCTCGAACTCCTGGGCTCAGGGGACCCTTCTGCTCCAGCTTCTCAAATAAGCTGAGAATACAGGATGTACCACCATACCTGGCTAATTTTTTTATTTTTTGTATAGACGAGGTCTCGCAATGTTGTCCAGGCTGGTTTCAAGCTCCTGAACACAATTGATCCTCCTGCCTTGGCTTCCCAAAGTGCTGGGAATGCAGGTGTGAGCCACCGTGTCCAGCCTAATTTGATATTTTAGTATTGCAGGTCATGGTGAAAGTCACTAGCTCTATTCTCCTGGCCATTTGTCTCCAGGAATTTTACCAAGAATATCATCTAGGCTGTTAGCCCCATGATCATTTGTTGCAGAGAAAAACAAAACTGACTGTGAGGTTGAAACATGAACTCCTGGAAGCATGTCTCTATATGGTGAATATAAATAGTGGTACATTCTGGGGCTTTTGTACCCAGTTGAAGAATTTTATGAGGCCAGCCTTTCCCATCCAGCTTCTTGCCAACTGACAGGCAGTCTGATGAGAGCCCTGTCTGATGATGAACCTGACAATGTGCCAAGCTGTCCAGTAGACTTTTCTTTGGGTTTTAAGTTCTGAATGTTTTTATTGATCAGAAAGAAATAGCCCTTTACAGATCATTTAATTTTTGCTTTGAAAGCCTTGACCACCACATTGCCAACAGAGTTGACTTACATACAATGCATTTAGTTAAACTGGCATTCACGTGGGAATTTTTCAGAACTCTTAAGTTTTATGTGTCAGCATTCATCCTAGTCTTCTATTTTGAAAAAATGGAAAGAACAGGCCAGGTGTGGTGATTCACACCTGTAATCCCAACCCTTTGGAAGGTGGAGGTGAGAGGATTGCCTGAGCACAGGAGTTCGAGACCAGCCTGGGCAACTTGGCAAGACCTTGACTCTACAGTAAACCAAAAAAAATTAGCCTGGTATGGTGGCGCAAGTCTGTAGTTCCAGCTACTTGGAAAGCTGAGGCAGAAGGATCACCTGAACCCAGCAGGCTGAGGTTGCAGTGGCCGTGAGCATGCCATTGCACTCCAGTTTGGGTGACAGGGTGAGACTTCTATTCAAAATAAATAAATAAATAAAAGGAAAGAACAGTAACATATACCCCTTGAGATTATATGAAATACAGTGGTCCCCTTCCTCGTAATGACTATCCATTGTCTATAGACTTTATTCTTTTGTTGCTGTTGTTGCTGTTTTGAGTTGGAGTCTCACTCTGTTGCCCAGACTGGAGTGCAGTGGCTGCTCCCAGCCGCCGCAGCCTCGACCTGCTGGGCTCTGCCGATCCTTCTGCCTCAGCCTTCCAAGTAGCTGGAACTACAGGCGCGCGCTACTACTTCCGGCTCATTTTTTGATTTATTGTAGAGATGAGGTCTCACTGCCCAGGCAGGTCTTGAACCCGCAGGCTCAGGCAATCCACTCACCTCAGCCTCCCAAAGGCATGGGATTACAGGCTGAGCCACCGAGCCTGGCTTAGACTTTATTCTTTAAAGGTTATCCATATAAATGCTAAATCTAGAATTCAATGTCTTTCATAGTTTTTTCCCATCTGTGTTCTACTCCTCTAAAAGAATCCTATCTTTCAGTAAAATGAGTCTTCATTCCCATTTCTCCCCCCAATGTGCCAGCCATATTTTAACTTCAGTATCTTTGCACATCATGTTTGCCCAGGCTGAAATGTCCTCTCTTCTATCTCTCACTTGCAAGGCCCAGGTTATATTTACTTCCCTATATCAGAATAATGATAAATTATATATTGGCATCAGTAAATACTTTTTTTTAGTTGGAGTCTCACCCTGTCGCCCATACTAGAGTGTAGTGGCGTGCTCACAGCTACCACAGGCTGTACTTGCTAGGCTCAGGTAATCCTTCTGCCTCAGCCTTCCAAGTGGCTGGAACCATAGGCATGTGCCACTATGCCTGACTAATTTTTTTGATTTATTGAGAGATGAGAACTCACCAAGTTGCCCAGGCTGGTCTCAAACCCCTAGACTCAGGCAGTCCTCTTGCCTCTGCCTCCCAAAGTGCTGGGAGCCACCACACCTGGCCAATAAGTACTTTTAAATAAATTACTCATCATTTCACTTCCAGAAGAATCCTGCACTATAATTTTTTTAGGGAACGAAAAATCGTTTTCCTCTACCCTCCTTGTTTCAGTGTCTGGGCCCTGAAAATTAAACTGACAGAAGACAGATTAACTGGAGAAACCATTTATTACATAATTATATGGAGGCCTTCATAGAAAAGAAGACCTGGGCAACCCCTTCGGGTCCCCTCCCACTGTGGGAACTTTTCTGTCCTCTCAATAAATCCTGCTTTCTAAAGAAAAGAAAGAAAAGAAGACCCAAAGAAGTGGTTAGACCTGAGATCTTGTATACCATTTTTAACAAAAAGTGATAAATTGTGGACATGTGACAAGACAAAGAGGAGTTGGAGTTTTCTAGGGGTGGTAAATTGTGGAAAGGTAAATATAAGGGGTAAACTTATGGAAGATACGGGTTGTTTCTGTAAGTTTTGTTATGCAGAGTCTCTCATGCCATCGCAGGTGATTAAGAGTCATTTTGCCCTTTCTGTTTAAAAGTGGGGGACAGCAGCAACGGCGGCGGGTGCGACTCGAAGCCGTTGAGACGCCTC